TTTTGGTGTTGCTGGGGATTGAACCCAGGACCTTGTGCAGGGGAGGCAAGCATTCTACCAACTGAGCTATATCCCCAGCCACATATGTCTGTAAATAAACTTTTAAATGGATGGTTTTTGTGCACTAAATGTAGTGTTTAAATGCAATCCATGGCTTTTCTCTTATTTGATCATACATTTTTCTATGATATTTTCATTGTTGTTTAGTGAGTTCCCTACTAAATTTATTTATTATATTTAAATTTAAAAAGCAGAAGAGCTTGAATTTATCTAAGCCCAGAAGCAAAACATCAAGCCCTACTATGGCACGTGTGTTGAACACAAAACTCTATCTATAGACTGTAGCTGGTTATTGCTATGCTTAGGAGAGCTATTGATTTTTTTGAGCTGATCATATTTTACTACTTTATGGATTACATTAACCTTAGTGATTCAATGAGCCAGCTAATTCTCTGACGTTTTTAGTAGATAATGACATTGTCTACAAATAAAGATGCCTAATCAGAATGCTTTTAGCCCTAAATAATAGCCACAAAGCCTGACAATAGAGATTTATAATGTACACAATACACACCTCTGAACAGATGCTCCACACTGGGTTAGTTCAATACTCCAGGGATCTCATCACCGATGCAGGTATTTACATTGTACAATTACAGTGTATCATCTTTTTCTTAGGCTGGTTTTCCTCACAATTACAAGATGACTGCAGCAGCTCCAGAAGGTGCATCAAACATGAAAACACACAGCAAAAGATAGACAAAATTTGGGTTCGAATTATCAAGGAAGAGAGGTGAATAAATGTTGAGAATGGAACTCTGTTTCAATATCTATGACTCATTTTCTTTTTTACTTTGTCTTGATGTATTACTTAAGATTTCCTTTATAAACTATAGTAGTGGCAAGAGAATAACATCTGCGTTGTTCTCGGATTTAATGGGAATATGTTTAATATTTGACCACTGGAAGATTCTTAACTGTAGGTCAGGGTCAGCAACAGTCATGGCCTATTATTACATGGGCTGAGAGCTAAGAATGGTTTTTACCTTTTTAAAGTCACAGAGGAGGCTGGGGCTCTGCTCTAGCTCAGTGGTAGAGGGCTTGCCTTGCAGGAGTGAGGCACTGGGTTCGAACCTCAGCACCGCATAAAAAATAAATAAATAAGATATTGTGTGTTCATCTACAACTAAAAATATATTTTAAATAAAGTTTCTGAGAAGCTGCTATGGAGGAGGAGGAAGTTGAGGAGCAGGAAGAGAAGAAGGAACAGGAAGAGGAGGAGAAGGAGGAGGAAGGAGAGAAAAGGAAATTGAAAATGTGCAAGGGAGACAGCACATAGCTTGCAAAGCCTAAAACATTTACCATTTGCCCTTTCAGAAGTAGTTTGATATCGTTGCTGTAGTACATCTTCCAAAAAGTTGTCATCCTTTATTAACTGAAAAAGTTAAACCTAGGGAAGACTGTTGAATTTTATCAAATGATTTTACTCTATCCGTTTAAATGATCATGTAGTTCTTCTTATTGAATCTGGGAAGGAGGCAGTTGACATTAATAGATTCTCCAATGTTGAACCATTCTTGACTTTCTGTAATAATTTTACTTGACTACAGTCCTGGGACTTTGGAGGGGTGGAGAGGATCCCAGGGCAATGGATATGATCAGTGGGTATTATTTGTATGTATGAATATGTCAAGTGAAACCTGTTATTCTGTATAACTAAAATGCACGGACAGAAATACTTTCATATTCAGCATGAACCGCTCCTCAAACCCCAGAAGCATATATTCTCTGCCTGCTCAACATCTCCACTTGGGACTTTTTTTTTTTTCTGAAACAAATATTTTTTTATTTATATATGACAGCAAAAGGCATTACAATTCTTATTACACATATAGAGCACAATTTTCCATATCTCTGGTTGTATACACAGTATATTCACACCAATTCATGTCTTCATACCTGTACTTTGGATAATAATGTCCATCACATTCCACCGTAATTTCTAACCCTCTGCCTCTTCCCTTCCCCTCCCACCCCTCCACTTGGAAGTCATCTGCTATAACTTAGATCTTGAATGCCCCCAAAGGCTCACAGGTTCAAAGCTTATTTCCCAGCCTGTGTTTCTATTGGAAGGTGGTGGAACTCTTAAGAGGTGGGAAAAAGTTGGAAAAAGTTAAGTCACTGGGGATGTGCCCTTGCAGGGGATATTGGGGACATGATGGTTCTGACTTACCACAGGCCAAAGCAATAGGGCCAAGCAACCATGAACTAAAACCTCTGAAGCCATGAACCAAAATAAACATTTCTGTCTTTTAAGGTGATTCTCTCAGGTCTTTTGTCACAGTAACACAAAGCTGACTGACACAGTATCTTAAACATAATATGTCCAATGCAGGACTCTACTTTTCTCCTTGTCCTAAGTTTGCTCCTCTTTGCTCTAATTTTGCTCTTCCTATATCTTTTCAACCTCTGTACATGATCACGTCATCTTTCCAATAGCTTAGAATTATCATTGTTTATCCATTCATTCGCCCAACAAACATATAATGAGTGCCTTTTAAACCCAGGTACTATTCTAGGCTTTAAGGATACAGTGAGTAAACCAAAGAACCAAGTCATTACGTTCATCGATCTCTTATTATTAAAATAAACAAAACACCTAAAAATATATGTGTTGCACTGAACTATGATACACACTGTCAAGCAAAATCTGGGAGAGAGGAAAGGGAGTTCTGGTTGTGGCAAGGTTTGCGACTTTAAGGATGGTGGTAAGGAAAGGCTTCATTCAGAAGATAAGATTGGCTATTGACCCAGAAGGATGAGCTGGTTTTGCAATGAGATGAGGAAGATGAGGAGTCCAGAGAGGAATATTAAGCTTCAGGAGCTCTTCAGTCACCCAAGGGGAGACATCAGCAGGAAGCTGGAGACTAATCTAGGTTTCGGAGGAGCAGACCAGGCTGGGGTGGAAATGCAAGTGTATGCATAGTATTTAAAACCTTGGCTGGAAGAAATCACCTAGGGAGCGAGTACAGACTGAGAAGCATTCAATAAATATGCCCAGACACTTAGAAGTCAAGGATATGAAAAGGGAGCGTGGCTGTGAAGAAGTGACCAGTTAGGTCAGAGAAAAACCAAAGGGAAATGCTTTCTAGGAAGTCACAGGAGTCCCAGAGGCAGGTGTTTCAAGAGGACACGATCAGCTGGGCTAACAGGTACTTGATGCAGAACCAAGAACTGATCACTGCGTTTCCACGTGGAGGTCAATAGCTAAACAAAGAAGAGTTGCTTTGGTGTCCTGTCGGAGCCACAATACTAATTGGAGCTTGGGTTCCTAGGGGAATTGATCGAAAGCAACCCAAGGCACTTCCCAGGAGTCTCACCGCAAAGGGGAGTGGAGAGATGGCACTGCACATGGAGGGAGGTGTGGAATCAAGACACGCTGATTATTTATTTTTTCAGCGATGAAAGATATTAGCATACTATTACGCTGTTGGGAATGATCCAATCAAGAGGGGAAACGTGATCCAGGACAGTGAAGGGACAATTGCTGGAGAGAGATTCCCGGGAAGATGAAGGATGAGTTTAGAGTCACTGGACTTGGAGAGCAGCCCAGGTGAGAGGAGAGCAGGGCTGGAGAGCGGGAGGGTGCTGAGCAGGAGCATGCGGGGATTCTCTCCTGACTGCCTTGACACTTGCAGGGAAATCAGAAGCAAGATGCCAGCTTCAGGGGAGGCTAGGGGGGTAAAGGTCAGAGGTCACAGGAGAGCAGAAGAAGGGAGTTGGTCTAGGAGAGGGGAAGAGTGCAGAGGTTAGCAGGCCACGTGGCTGCTCAGAAGTCTCCTTCCTTCTCTGTAATAAGTAGATATTTATTTTAAAAGCTTATCTCTCGAATGGCTGCCGTGGTGCCCTATGGACATTATTGATTTCTGACTTTCTGTTACTTTCTCATACTTCAAAAAGTATACAAAGTTTTCCAAGATGCAGTTTTTCTAGATGGTTTGGATTTGGGGTATCCTTTTACTATTAATTTTATCATGATGACATCAGGTCAGTGAAAGTGGTTTAGTGCTTTCAGAATTCTGTTGTGACTTCCTCTGTGACCGGTGCTGTGTCAACTTTTAAAAGATTCCATGTATAGTTTTTTTTAAAAAAAGGTGAAAAATTTTATTTTGGTATAAAAATCTATATAGCTATTGTATAGGACTGTTAAGTTTAGCAAATTTTTACAAAACTGCCTGGTTTTATAGTCAGCCCTATCAGTTTCTGAGAGAGGAGTGAATATGATAATGGATTTGTCCAACTACCCTGTATGAGCCTTTGTGTCATTTCCATCCTGTGTATTTAAATCCATGAGATGTCATGACCATTGTGTCATGGAGGGGTGGTTCTTTCATTATTATGGAACTCTGCCTTTTCACTCCTCGTAATCCTCTTTGATTCTATTCAGCATGATAGGAAAAATTCTATATCTGATTCTGATACATTCACTTAACATATTTTTTGTCAATCATTTGTAGTCTTCTGAGTCATTTCTTTTTACATTGTTAGTCATACATAACAATAGGATCATTTTGATATAATTGTAAAAGCAAGGAATATGATTTGTTCTGATTCAGTCCCTGGTACTTCTCCTACCTCTCTTTTCCTCCCTCCCCTCTTCTCTTCCCTTGGCTCTACTGAGCTTTCTGCTGTTGACTTACAGTTTGTTTTTTCTTTTTTTAATTAGTGTCTGTGGATGTACATGATAGTGAGATTTACTGTGCTATGTTCATTTATATACATAGAAAAGTTAGGTCAGATTCATTCCATTTCCTTATCCCATTCCCCCTCCCTTCCCTTCATTCCCCTTTGTCTACTCCACTGATATTTCTTTCTTTTTTTTTTTTTTAAAGAGATAGTGTGTGAGAGAGAGAGAGAGAGAGGGAGAGAGAGAGAGAGAGAGAGAGAGAATTTTTTTAATATTTATTTTTTAGTTTTCAGTGGACACAACATCTTTGTCTGTATGTGGTGCTGAGGATCGAACCCGGGCCGCACGCATGGCAGGCGAGCACGCTACCGCTTGAGCCACATTCCCAGCCCTCCACTGATATTTCTTTTTTTTTAATCCCCCCACTTATTGTGGGTTAGCTTCCAAATATCAGAGAAAACATCTACCTTTGACTTGTGGGGACTGGCTTATTTCACTTAGCATCATAGTCTCCACTTCTATTTACTGGTAAATGCCAAAAAGCCATCTTCTTTATGGCTAAGTAATACTCCATTGTGGATGGCTAAGTAATACTCCATTGTTGGACTCCATTGTGGAAGTATACCATATTTTCTTTATCCATTCATCTGCTGAGGGGCACCTGGGTTGGTTCTATAGCTTAGCTATTGTGAATTGTTCTGCTATAAATATCAATGTGGCTGTGTCACTGTAGAATGCTGATTTTAAAACCTTTGGCTATTTACTAAGGAGTAGGATAACTACCATCATATGATGGTTCTATTGCTAGTGTTTTGAGGAATCTCCATACTGTTTTCCATAGTAGTTGCACCAATTTTCAGTCCCATCAACAATGTATGAATGTACCTTTCCCCCTACATACTCATGAGCATTCATTGTTACTTATATTCTTGGTAATTGCCATTCTGACTAGAATGAGATAAAATCTCAATGGAGTTTTAATTTGCACTTCTCTAATTTCTAGAAATGTTGAACAGTTTTTCATATAT